ACACTTAATTTTCTAAATAAAACACAGTCTAGCTGGTCCCTGTAAAGGTTCTTTGGCAAATCTCACTACCAAACTGTCTGCATTTACTTCTCCAGATTATGGGATGCAGAGCACATTCCAACACTTTGGAAGGAGGTGCACCAACCTATTCAACAGAGTGTCCAAAATTGCTGCTTCTAAATCATGCCTGTATCTTTAGGCAGACCCAATTTACAAGCATTATGAGCCAATCTCTTCCTGATATACACTGACATAGGTTGATATTCAAGGCTAATTATCCTGTATGATTTGCAGTCAGCATATGAATCAGTCCAACTGTTTAACAGTATTTTTGTGTGCATTGCATTTCCCTGGTTGGCATTTTTTTCTTTCTTTCTAAATGTTAGGCTGAGTCTACCAGTGAAATCCTTATAGAGAATATAAATGACAGTGGCGATTAGGAAATAATCAAATGGCACCAGCATCTACCTTTGGAAACAGAACAAAACTAACCAAAATAATGCAGACCCTGAAAAATAAAGGAAAGGGGAAATGATATCAAGTTTGTTCAGCTGGAATGCCTCACCTGGAGAGCTCTGCTCCATAATATTTGGGCCAGAACCATGTCATAAATCTTAAGGCTATTTATTCATAGTCTCATTCATCTCTGCTCAGCTGTAGAAGAGCAATAACCTTGTTGCTACAGAACGAGACATAGAGTCCTTTAATTTCATATAGATTACAGGAGAGTGCTTATCTTATACTCCAATTTGTAGCTCCTGCTCCAGTTCTTTGCCTCCCTTGGTCAAAGTCACTAAGAATCTATAGCACTCCATACTTTATAAGTCCGTGTCCCTGTAGGAGAGATTGATATATGAAGTTATGTTGTAAATTGTTCTATTTGCCATTTTTCATGCATTCCCTTTGAAACCAGTCCTGAGGAAGATCTTTGCTGCCATGGTGCCAAAAATGGCATGTGCAGCTGTGGTGATGCAGAATAGTAAGAGGAACAGTTCCATCCAGCTATGCCACCCAAGTGGCTGGAAAAGTAGCTTTATGAGGGCTTGGGGGAGCCTTCAGAAGGAGCGCAATGGTGGAACCTCCTACTTCAGCTGATCCAGGAAAGCCCAACATCAGCCTTCCCCAATCTGGTGCCTTCCAGATCTGTTGGCTACAGCTCCCACTATTCCCCAACCAGCCATGCAGGCTAGAGAGGGTGAGGGTTGTAGCAGAACACACCTGGAGGGCTTGCATGGGTTGGAGAAGGCTGCCCAACATCCTTTCTGAGCTCCCAGCCCTGCTTATTTTTTTAGTTATACAGGTCATTATACATTGTCTAGGGCAAGTCATTATTTCTCAGTTAAGGGTGCAATCCTATGCAATTTTGGGCAGAGAAAAACGGCTATGCTGGTGGGGCATGCTGGGAGTTGTAGGACTTTTCTTCTGCCTAAGCATGCACAGGACTGCACCCTACATTATCTCGTAGGACTTGGTGTAGTGGTTAAGAACACAGGACTGGAATTCAGGCAATCTGAGTTCTAGTCCCCACTTGGCCATGGAACGAACTGATTGACTTTGAGCCAGTCCCAGTCTCTGAGCCCAACCTACCTCGCAGGGTGGTTGTGGGGCTAAGACTGAGAACAGCAGGGGGAGAATGAAGTAGGCCTCTTTGAGTTCTTCAACAGAAAAAATGGAAAGAAATCTAATGTCAGGATGTGAAAATATAATTATTTTTCACTTAAGTTTATGTTTGGGTCAACAGCCTGAGAACAGTCAGGCAGGAAAGCTGGAAGTTCAGCTGAACTTCTATCAGGGCTGCATAAATTTCTCAGAATCAGGCCAGTTCCTGGCAGCTTTATATGGCCAAATGGATTTTTTGGGTCAATGAAGCCCTTTGATCTGCTGCAGAATTCAGCTCAGCCAGACACTCTTTTGCAAGCTCTCACAAGGAGGAAGGTGTATGGGCTTTACTGGCCAAGACCCCACTTTAAGGGCCAAAACATCCATGACTTGGTGTGTGTATGTGTGCGTGTGCGTGTGCGTGTGTGTGTGCAGCAACTGTGACTGCTTTTTCATTTTTATTCCAGAGTAGGTACAGAAATCCAAAACCAGAATTGAAAAGCACCCTCCCCCCAACACACAATACCATAGGGTCCTGATCTAGATCAGGGACCTTGCACTTACTTTAGAATAAAAGTGAGGGAAAGAATGACCTAACTGCTAGACCCACATTTAATTTAATGCCTATTTTGGCCCCAAGATCCCCAGCAACCTAGAGTTTAGAACTCCAGAAGTGAGAGAAAAGGATGCAACTATTTGTTATCAGAGGTTATATATTAGAGATATTACTGTGTGTTATGACAAAGCGGGTGTTCTTAAATGATAAGGAGTTAACCCTAAAACTGTTTCAATATCCTTGCATAAATGAAGGGATAGCAAAGGTTAGAAAATCACATTACTATTTTTTCTTATTATTGTCATTGCCTTTGCCTTCTTTTTGTGAGGAATTGAGGACACTAGGTTTGTTAATTAATATATTCAGGTGTGAATTGTATGAGCCACAGATGCCAACATTTCAAATGCTGTTCTCTGCACTGTATAAAGAATTCTACAATTGAAAAAGGATGTGATTGTCTGAATGACATGAGAAACAAAACTCCAGATTTGTTCCATTGTTCTGGATTAGACTGAAAAGTCTTTAAAAGAATCATAATGCAGTACTGCAGAGAAGTCAGAGATCATTTACTTTAATAAGCAAGAACTTAATATTGAGTTCAATATTGAACTCAATACAACCAACATTTCAGTTTTATGGAAAACTAGTCAAGTAAGTTAATAAAAACACAACAATAAAAAAACATGCAAGATTTCTTAAGAACTATATAACTAGGCAGGTGAATAAAACTAAAAGCCAAATCATAACAGCATTAGACCCTTCTAAGATATATTAGTATTAATGGGCTGTCACACACCTTGGTTGTTCTCTAGGAACAAGAGAGAAATATGTTCACAGTTAATACAAACATATCTAATACACCACCCAAAACTCAGTTGTCCTTCAAATTCATGGATGAACAGTAATGAGTCCATGCAAAGCATCAAGTTCACATGTTCTCCATATTCCTCCTCCTGTATGACAGGGAGAAGGATTTATTTATATTCACACTCCTCTGATGTCAGCTTGTCTTGTCATACAAAGCAAAGGTGGTGGTTCATCACAAATTCTGTTTCATTAAACAAGCCAGCTTTATAACCCATGGCCCCAAGTGGTCTTGCATGGGAAATGAACAGAGCTTGTAATATGCATGAACTCTGGTTCATATGACACAACAAGCCAAGATTAATGGGGAAATGCAGCCAAATGCTTCTCACAGGAGGGAAGAATATGAGCCTAGAAGTATCCCCAGGCTCATTTCAGTTCATGTGCATAGTGTTTAATCACGGTTAGCATTACATAAACTTGGTCAATGGGGGGTTTAATGGAAATTATTTGGACCTGCACTGGTAGTCTGCTATAGCAACATGACTCGCATTTGGTGCCCCATGGAATATGGAAGATGGTCTGCTCCCTTCCCTTCAACCCTGAGTTTCAGCGGGACTTCTGCAAATAGTTTCTTTTCCATCCTTGATGTACCATTTCTTTCGCCATCAAGTTTTTATGTTCCTGGGTGTGTCTTGACTTATGTAATGATGCCAACTTTCCCATAGTTCTTTGCAAAATCAGTACAGAGGAATAAATCTTCACATTTTTTAATAATGTAAATTTTAGTGCATAGTATTAGAACTATCCAAACAAAATAGCTGTTTTAATTTGCCTCAAAACGCAGCAGGGAAGAGTTAATTATGTGAAAAGCAGGTGGGAATCAAGTTATCATTTAGTGCTACAGACCATGGAAATCAAAATAGCAACCTAATCATCTATCAAAAGGACAATTACTCTTGTATCCTCCAAATCACTGTGGCTGCAGTCCCACCGACCCCAGGAACAAGCCTTGCTGAACAGAGTAGGTATTTTTGTGCACTATGAATATCCTTCCCTCATGGAACATTCCCCAAAAAACCCTTTCTTCAATAAATTTCACGGCATTAAGGTTGAGTAGTTGTCCCACAAACTACTTCAACTAAACAAGAGCTGTTCCTTTTCAATATTTATTGTGTATGTAGAATACAAACCCCCAAAATTTTAAAGGCACATTTTCTTTTCTATAACTGCAGCAATAATGAATTCCATAAGGATTTATTACTCCCTTCCTATAACAAAAATCGGCTCTTTACAAAAGCATCCCCCAAGCACCCTCCAGAGGTTCTGGATTATAACTCGCATCATTCATAGCAAGCAATAGTCACAAGGCTATTTTGCCAACACAGGTATTCAGGACTGAAGTGTAAAAATTGCAATACATCCTGTTCCATGTCACAGACTTAGAAGAGTATCACTGATTGTGTCCTGCCAGCAAGTATATTTTAAAAAGAAAGGTAAAACAAAATGAATATAAAAAAGAAACAGAACTCATGCTTCCCAACTTGGTGCCCTTCAAATGTTTTATGCTATGTATTCCATCATCTCTGACAATTGGCTATGCTGGCTGGGGCTGATGGGATTTGCAATCTAAAACATTAGAAGGGCATCAAATTGGTGAAAGTAAACACTGTTAATATTCTGGTTTTGAATATCTGCTTATGTCTATGAAAAAACAGCAAATAGTATATTGGATAGCCAGTGCTTCAGTTGCCCTCAAATATCATTACAATCAGAAGCATTTCCTTTCATGATGAATGCAGCAGGAAAAAATGTCTTTCTGTTCGAGTTCAGCATGATGTCAGGAGGATCTATTCTCAGCCACTTGGAGAGAGCATTTCTAAACTGCTGGGGAAGAGATCCTCAGCATCACCAGGCCAAACCAAAGGAAGTAAATAAGCAGACATGAGAAAGGCCCCTAGTTAGCACTTAGGTCTAGCTTTGGTCTCAAACTAGAGGTTTAGGAAGGTGAGAGTAGAATTACAACAAAACTATTTTTTCTCTATACATAGTCATATTTTGAAGGGTAAGGGCGTCTCCCTTCATCACTTTTGACAGTGGTATTGTCAATTACTGGGGTCTTCTTGGTCTCATATCCAATTCCAGACTTGTATCCAGCAGACTTGTATGACACTGCCTTATAACTGAAACAAACAAAAAATGCATATTACTTAGTGGAAATCCCTAGGATAATGGGGCATTTATACGTAGCTGCACTATTTGCCATGTAGTACATGCTATACAATTTGTGATGCATATTATCATTTTCTATTTCACTAGAATAACATTTGGGGCTGCTTCGACCATGGTAGGAAAACCATCTTTGATATGTTCAGAGGTATGCATGTGAGATCAAGAACTAGTTGCGGCACTAGGTAACCTTGGACAGCTGTCAGAGCCCAAGCAGGTCCAGCAAGTCCCACTAGTAGAGTTTGGCCCGTGCACCCCCTTCATCACAAATGCATGGTGGCAAGCAGAGCTGCCATTTGCCAACCTGAATTTCTCACATTACCCCCAGACCATCCAACAGTGCGTCACTCCAAACCATTGTGGGCAAATTAAAAAGACAGGTAGCATCTAAGATTCATCCACTACTGCCAGGTAAGCTTACAACCAAGTGAGCAAGTAGCTAGGTGAGTAAATCAATGAATTGGCAAAAATACTAGTTTAAGCTCTACCCCATTTTTCCAGTGCCCCCTGTTATCCTGCAGTTGGCTCTATCCAAAACATGTATTGGTAGCATACTTGCAGCCAGAGCTTATGTATATCCATGGAGAAATAATTCCACTGAGTTGATTCCACAACTACAAGGTAAGTATAGGTAAGACTGGCACCTTGAAGGAAGCTATCATTACTAAAAGGCTGAACTTCAGTGGTGTGTTTCAGGAAATCATTTAAAAAGATGTATTTGAGACATGTATTTGCATGTATAGTAGGAACAACACACATGCCCCACACTGCGGTGCATTGTTCCATTAAAAAACTCAACCCATTATGTAAATGCCCCACTGCATTACATTTGAAGGGCTCATTGGTCATTCCACATGTATTCTTCAGATATTTCTCTGATGAGCAGTTCATGATTTGGACACAGTGTGAGATTTCAACTAGGAAGATAACCATCAATGTGTATGTAACAAGCTCACCTAATAGATTCAGTTTGACTTTCATTACAAAAAGTGGCATTTTGGCAATCTGAGCTTTAATGGGCACTGAAATCAATGATCCAACTAGGAAGACATTGTAGTATGACCAAAGCAAATGCAAAGCCAAACAGCATGCCCCAGCTTTTGCTTCTGTCTTTTGGTTTCCCTGTGCTCAAACGTTAATTGTTGCTGACGTGATGCTATTATTGTGTTTTACACACTTAGTTTCCCTTTCTAATAAAGAAAGCCTGTGATAGAGAAGTTTAAGTAGCATAATCTGAAGAACTGTCATAGTTGGGCACTCACTGGGTTTCCTCTGGGACCAGTCCTCTACAGGCAATGCACATCATAATGCCTCCAATGAAGGCCAAGCCACCGGCCACCCATCCAACAAACAGTGCAGAACCAAATGTGTATCTGTAAAATAAGAAGTGACAGTACATATTTTACTCAAGTTGATGGATTGGATCCAGTTTAAAAGAGTCCCATTTTATTCCCACTGAAATCAGTGAGATTTAAGTTAATCATGACTTACTAGGCACATTAATTTCAATGGCACTAAAGTATAATTAATTTAGCCTGAATAAAAACCAACATATTTCAATCCTGCTTCTTTGAAAGGGCATTTAAAATATAGTTGTCCAAAGATATGCATCAAGTACTATTCATACACTGGAGACATTCATGCACACTGAATTCAGTGGATCTGCATCAGCATAGAGGCAACTGCTTTGCTCCAAGTGGTTTGTGGATCCATCTTCCTTGACTTTAGTTTCTTCTGTATCCTAATATCTTTCCCACTTGGGTTTCCTTTGACCCTGAGTACAACTCTAGAGAAAATTGCAACACTTCAGCCCTGTTGCCCAGCAAACTATCACCCCATGCATGCATGGCTAGGAGGGATAGTGGGCTAGCATAAGGCATGAGTGTTGATTATTTGATTTGGAGCTGAGCTACTTGTAGCCCTCCAGATGTTTTGCCCTCCAGCTCCATTCAACCCTCCCTAGCTAAGCTGGCTAGGGCAGATGGGAGCTGTAGGCCAAACCATGTGGAGGGCCACAAGTTGCCCAACCCTGATTTAAATGAACACGAAGTGGAAGGGTTCACAAAGAAGTTCAGAAAGGGTGGCAGGGACTTAGGAAGGACCACAGTTCAATTATAGAATACATATTTGGGGGAGCTGTAGCTGGGGAGCTACTGCCAATCTGAGTAGATGATGCCAGCATAGGGAGATGAACATTTTAACCTGGTATAATGCAGCTTGAGTCAGCATGTATACCCATGATACCATCAGTTAAAAACCCTCTCAGTACAAGGTCCATCTATACTACACGGTGTATCAGTTTTATATAGTTTAACCACCATTAACAAGAGTTGTGGGAAATGCAGTTTGCTGGCAATTGTGCTAGCAGTCCTGAGTACAGCCTTCTTCCACCTCATGAGCTCCAGGTGTTTGGGACTCCAGCACCCAACATTTCTCACCATTGGCCATAATACCTGGGGCTGGCAAGGGTTGACATCAGCAGCACATGGAAGGCACCAGACTGGGGAAAGCACATCTCAAAGAATTCCCTGGGAAGAAGGAAGTGACTATTCCATGTTTACTTCTTTGGTGTAGGTATGCCTGTTCATTACACCTGCCCTGATTAAGATTAAAGCACACCATTTGATCTCTATAAGCACTGAATATAAGGACCTGGAATTACCTCACTTGGAGTGACATCATTCCTGATTGATACATGCCAGCTGTTGACATCCAAAAGTTTGTGACAAGCATGTTGGCAAAAACGGACACTCCACAGATAGCACAGATACCTGCCCAAGAGAACAGATCATTAATCCAAGGCCAGAATGAAATTCAAGTTTATCAATGCCAGGCTTGTCTGCCTTTACTTACAAAACAGGAAGAAAGCAGGTAATATCATAATCACCCAACTGTATGACATAATCACCTCCAGTGTCAAGTTATGTATATGAGCTAGGTGGGAGTGGGCAGATGTTCCCATAGCAAGATTTGCCACATTTGTTGGTTTTATTAAGATGTTTATGGAGGATGAAGAATATTGGTGGCTATTAGTCTTGACTGCTACATGCTACTCCTAGGATCAGAGGTAGAGTGCTTTTGGAAACCAGTGGCTAGTAAATAACATCAGGAGGGTGCTGTTGCCCTCATGTGCTGCTTTGGGTCTTCTTGAGAGGTATCTGGTTGTCCACTGAAGGAAACAGGATGTTGAAACAGATAGGCCTTTGAATATTCAGAGGCCGTAAGAGACAAAAGTGTGTGTAACTGTTTCCTCACCCCTGATATTAAAGATGATGGGTTAAATCCAGACTTCATTATTGATTAAGTAAACCCACTGAAATCAGTGGGTTGAGTTAATCCTGATTAATCTCAATGGGCCTATTCTGAGTAGAACTAAGTCCAATTGTAACCCAATGTATTAAAAGGACTGCTGTGTTAGTTGTGGTTAAATCCTTTTGCAGCTTCATTTCATTTCTGCCTACCCTGGTTGTTGCCAGAACAAATCAGTAATAAATGTCCTTATAATTGTTTGGGGCTTTTTTCCCAACCCAGCAATGGCATGAAATCTTTGGTAAGTGCTAGGGTGCTCTAGAATTCAGTTTAACAATTTCATCCCAAATATATCCAGAAAGGAAGGCAGGCAGGCAAATGTTCCACAACTCCTCAGTTATCTGTACAAGAACAGGCTCACAACTAATTTTATGACATTGTCCCTTATAAGACTCAAAAGCCTGTATCTAAGAGATTAAGACAGTGAATGCCTTGTTGTCCTGAGTGTAGGCCAGGTGGGCTAGAAAGTTTCATGGCCAGGAGAATCTTCATGAAATTTTAGCTCAGGGAATTGGAAAACATTTGTTCATTTAATTTTATTGGCCACCAGTTGCTAAGTTTGTTCAATGTTTTCTGCCTCTTAATTCCTATTGCCTCTTACAAAACAGATAGGGCCATGGGGCCCCAGAGGAACCATAACTTACCAGCAACAATAGACAATATTCCAGCAGTCAGAGTCATGTTAGCTTTTGCAGAGTCCTCCATGTTGCCAATCCGTAAACATTTCAGGGAGAAAATAGCCACCAGGAGGCCAAAAGCACCAAGCACAATGCCCACAATCATCAGCGCTCTCACAGCCTGGAACATTGCTGTAAAATACAAGGGGGAGCATTAAATTAGTAGCAAAAGAATATTGCTCACAATTCTTAGAACAAGAGCGGTTTGTTAAGACAGACACATGATTCACATGAACACTATTGATTCAAGAATTTCTTTACAAAAATATTTACCATCACAAAATGTGGTGATGATCACTAGCTTAAACAGTTTAAAATGGGAATTAGACAAATTCATGGAGTAAATCTATCAATTACCATTTGATAGCTAAACAGATTTTTGTATTCACAGCATTCTATCATTGAGTATCGGTTGCTAGAGAGCAAGAGAAAGCTATTGGCGTGCTTGCTTATGATGAAGCTTGCTGAAGTTAGGTTTGCTATTGTATTTGAGCCCATCCATTGAAACATGCCATCATTTGTTAACCATCTATAAACCACAAAGTGAAGCCATGTTTGTTTTTGGTTTTAAAAGTCTGTTTTATTTTGAATTATATCTCGTGATGTCTAGCATGTCTACATACTTGTCCCTCCCGAGAAAAAGGCACCCACACATGAGCGACCTGACAATGAAACTATCCTAAAGGCCAGCAAAATGGACAGGAGAGAAACAAAGCAGAAATAGGGAAAGCAAGCCATGTTCCAGTTGTTTTACTCTCTACAAGCATAAACCATGACTTAGTATTATGCGCGAAGTTTCCTTTCTGATAAGAGGCAGCTGGACTAGCCCAGATTGTGGTCTAATCTTGCACGGACAAAACTGTTCTTATGTCCAGGCTAGGGACAGTTGTTCATAGGAAACAAGAAATTTCCAATGATCAATAAAGTCTGCACTGAAAGTCCCTTTTGAAAAAAAGTTTGCAACCAAAGCCTGCTCCCATGTTTGACTTGCTGAACAAACATCACGCAATGCACTCATTCTACATGGGCAGAACAAGGAAGAATACTTAATTTGTACTCCTCTGAGCACATTTCTCTGGCTGGTGCATTTTTCCGGAATTTTCACACAATGCGCACTTTTTTCGTTGATTTGCTCTTGTTCATATTGTTGTTTTCTACCTTGTAGAAAGCCAGCACATACTGATTCACAGGTACATCTCAGCCTTGTGACAAAATCAGACTTACAAACCCTCTCCTTTATAAGGAAAGTGCACGTTTATCTAATGCTATTAAAACACAATTCATTTCATCTTATCCTTATATTAATAAATGTCTAGTGAAATACGGAAAAGGTTTCTCAATAAGTAAACACTTACAAGATAGAGCTATGTACAGAAGGCCTCTCAAAATTCTCCACCCTATTTGATGGGAGAAAAACTGTGGGAAGAGAAAATTTCACTGTGTTTCCCCAGACGGAGGAAAAAGTCTCAATAGTTTCTCATAGCTTAGGCAAGAGTTGAAGTACAGCTTCTTTCTTTTTCCACAATCTTTTTGGGGCTTTGTGGTCCATCAGTTGTGTTGGCAAGCTGATCCCCATTTAACAGCCATTACAATATAGGTGGGTGTGGGGGGGGGAGAGTTGGGAGGTGCATTATGTCCAGCTCCAAGAAAGGGATGGAGTTAGTGTTGAGCCGAAAACTGTCCTCCTATTTTCAGAAACTTTTCTTTCCCCAGAAGAGACACTTCCAATGTCCTTATTTAATCTTAGGGTCTTTTGTAATTCATTTTCATGAAGTGTTTCCGTTTGCCTAATCACTCCAAGGTGACCAAGGGAGTTGTGTGTGTGATTTCTTGCTAGAGCACTTTCCTCCTTTGCTCAGCAGCATCTCAGGCTGCCTGCGTTTCCTGATCTGCAGTATCCCTTTCAAAGGAACTATCTTATGTCATTTTTCCTTCGGCTTTACTTCAATTTCAGGATATTGTGGAGGCTACCATAGCACTGATTATTCAGTGCAAACCAGGACAGTGCTGCAGATTCCTTGGCAACCTGCTAAGTTAAGTATTGCCAACTCATCCCACAAACCTAACCAAAATTTCTCCATCACTGATTTTTTCCATTTTTTCTTCTGATTCTTTTGTAATAGAGTGAATGAAAATGGTCAGAAAAAGTGTAGGAGAAATTTTCAGCACAGCACCAGGAAATGGTGGTGTGAGCCACCTGAGGTCTTCAAGATATTGTGACATACAGCTTCCATCAGCCCTCACCGTTGTCAATGCTAGCTAGAACTGGTGGAAGTTGAAAGCCAAACTTTGCGGGCCTTGGGTTGCCCATTCTTGCTCTAAAGCTCTTACCAGTGGATGTTCATGACTTATTCGCAGCCTCCTGGGTATCGTCTACAGCTACCAGTATACAATATAGCTGAGTGAAATGTGCTCAGATGGGTATATAGCAGCATTGTGGAGATTCTGGATACTCTTGTTCATATGGACTACACTCATAGCCAGGTGTGCTTTGCAAGAAATTGCAAATTGATTGATTTAGGAATCAACTTGAAAAAAATGGACTGCAGAAATCTGCTGGGATCTACAAGGTTTCAAGCCCATCTGACAAATAGGTTACTGCCTTCCATAGGCTAGATGATTCATTCTAGAGATCTTACTAGGCAATGCATGATAACAAATGTTAACAATCCAGATATTATGCAGTCATTCATTGTGGGCAGGATTAACATGCATAGGGAAAAGCAATCCCTGGATTTCATGAATCCAGTGTTCTGTATACACTGAGTCTATACACCGACAAACTTTCAATGCATAAGCTATATTTAGACTCAACATATGTAGGTCAAGCCGTCATTGGTAGTTTTACATGCACGTGTGCACACACACGCACAGCCTATTAAGTCTTTGCAGTGACCCAGTTTGGATGATACAACAACCCATGAAGGACAAGACTATCCACACTACTGTATTCCCAATCACTATGTATGGGTGTGAATTTAGACAGAGAAGAAAGCTAACAGGAGGAAAATTGATGCATCTGAAACAGAACGCTACAGCAGAGCTTTGGAAATTTGCTGGACCAACAGAAAGACAAGTGGGTCCCAGATAAAATCAAGCCAGAGCTTTTCCTAGCAGAAAAAACTGACAAAACTAAGGCTGTTGTATTTGTGGGCGCACCATGCGAAAACAGGAGAAGACAATCTGGACACTGGAGAAGACCATCATGCTAGGGAAAGTCGAAGGCAGAAGAAGAAACTGAATATCAAATATGAGATGAATTCACTCCATAAAGGAAACCACAGCCTTGCGTTTGGAAGACTGAGCAGGCCTGATACAGACATTTCGGAGGGCTTTCTCTCATAAGGTCACCATAAGTTGGGCATGACTGCACATCACAACAAAGACAAGGTTGTTGTGAATGAGCAGGAGCAAACAAATATGCTGGGTGTTTGCCCACTCCCACTATAATAAACATGCCAGAGACACGCTATCCCTGGGTTATTTCGCATGATGTATGACCACAGAATTGTGGTTCTGGGGAAAGGCACAAGTTTGCATTGATCCATCCCTAATAAAACTAAAGTCTGGGTTTGCATCATGCACCAAACATGCCAGGGATGAAACTGTTCAGCACAATGGAAGCAGACAAGCCTCCACACTTGCTCACTTACTCACTACCAAATAACCTCATTACTTCGTTAAACTGTGGGTTGTGTGTCCTTCATGCTGACACACTGAACATTAGCACAGGACTGACAGTTAAAAGAAAACAACATAAAATACCTTGGAATAAATGTTTGGCTTCATGGAAATTAAAGGAAGAGAATAAATGGATATTCTATGCCCTTTTGACAGTTAAAGGACTGAGATTACAGCATTATAAAAATAGACACATACTTACACTGCTTTCACTATCTGAATGGGTAGCACACAGACACCATCTTTAAATTGATATTATTTGAATAATAATAAAAAGAAATAGAAGCCTGGAATAATATACACTCTAGAATTGTGCTGTGGAATCTAAGCCCCAAATGTTGATAATTGGAGGGAGGGGTTATAATGGCTGGTTGGTGCTTCTCCATTGTATTGCATCAGTGGAGAAGACCATTTATTTATTTAGAATTTTTGTATGCCATCCCATCGCTTATAGCCTCGGGATGGCTCACATAAAATAAATATACATAATAAAATAATTTAATTAAAACCAAAAATCACCCTGGCTGCAAAATTAAAACCAATAGATATTATTAAGAGTTGTTAAAATATTGTTTAAATAAAAAGGTCTTAGTCTGGCGCCAAAAAGCAAATAATGACACAGTGAGGTCTCTACTGCAGTGGAGGTCTCTACAGTGGACAACTGCCAACAGCAGTTTTCCCATCAGAAGCAGCTGAATACCATCAAACTGGAGATGGTACCACACCAACAGTGTGGCGTAGTGGTTAAGAGCATGGGACTGGGACTCAGACGATCAGGGTTCTGGTCCCCGCTCAGCCATGGAGCCAACTGGGTGACTTTGGGCCAGTCACAGACTCTCAGCCCAGCCTACCTCACAGGGTTGTTGTTGTGGGGATAAGACGGAGGAGGAGATGTGAGCTGCCTTTAGCCCTTTGTAGGAAAAAGGCAGGATATAAATCGAAAAATAAATAAATAAAAAAATAAAAAACCAAAAGAACGAAACACCACACAATAAACTGGGCATGGTAAAGAAGACCCACTTTTGAAATTACTCCATTCTACCAAACAGAAGCAATCTGGTTCTGTCAGCTACGAGAACAGTCAAGCTAACGTAGTCAGTCCTCACAGTGATAATGGATAATTATTTTATTTGCCCATCATTTTAATTGATGAATAGTAGATTGTTTTTATACCAATTTTTATATGATGATTGGTCACTGTAGATCAGTTGTTTTTGTGTTGTTGTTGAAGTTGTTGTTTTTACTTTTTTTGATTTATATTATATTTTAAAATTATGACTATCATATATATATATATGCATTGGTTTTATGTTTCTACTGTTTTAATCAACCTACACCATTCTGAGGGTGTTCACTAAAGAACAGTTTATAAAAGCTTTAAATAAATAAAGGGAGAAAATGGGAAATATATATACCTCCCTGGTGAAAAATAATTCACATGTATGCTTTCTTTTGCCCTAGCTGGTGCAAGCAAGGATGAAAGCTTAGATTTGATACTTCACTTTCCCACCACCACCATCAACAGCACTTAGATTTGCTCTGCCTAGCTTTAGTAATGGACAGAATAAAAGCGCTGCATGCTATTTTTATATTATTAAGTATTTGTCATCAACACTTTTCCCTTAATTTTGTGTGATTGCATGTGTATGAAACAGCATGGTTATATAAATGCCAGCTATTGCTCCAGCAGTAATTAAATTTTTGAGAATAGACAAAATGCTGGAAGTACATTCACCAATAGATTTCTGAAATCTTCTGCCCGAACATATAAAATACATGGTCTGTATTAACACTTTCTCTAAACAGTATGCTCTATGGAACCGTGTGTATAAAAATTCTGGAAATATGTTTAAGAACAAAAATATTTAGGAGTATTTTTAGGATTGGAGGACCAGTGTTTTTACAATCAAACTTTCAAATTTGCAAGTTTAGGGGTGAGCAAATTAAAATATTGTGCACCGTTGCTCAGTAAACTACTGTCAGCACGCATCAAGGTATCTATCAGAGGTCTAGCTTATTTCTATAACTGGATAGTTAACTCTCTCCAACCCAATGACAGAAGCAAGAATATTTAGAAGCTAGCCGAATATAACTGATAGAAAATACATACGTCTAGCATAAGTATATCAAAATAACACCAGTTGGTTTCATCTTAACAACTTCAAACTTGCCCATTTTAAAATTAGAAATGAGATTTAGATTTTAGTCAACATCTCCAAATGTGAAATATGTAGAACTTTAAGTTAATAAATTCATTATTTTCATAATGGTCTAAAATTAAATTTCATAAGTTCATTAAATTCATAAAATGTTAGATGTGCCTCATCTAACTTATTCCCCTCACAGGTCCTCTTTATTCCAAAGTTGAGCTTCATTTGCAGTTTATTTGCTCTGGCCCATGTTTTAAACCAAGACCATTTTTGGAAACCAAAATGTGTCCATATTTACTTTTTACTAAACATACACTCTGCCAGTAACACAAGTCACTTTAATGCCTACAATTCCCAGGAAAATGTCAGAACTGATATGAGACTGGGATTAAATCTCATGTTTTGTTCTCTAATATCTTCAGGCCAAGATTTACCTTCCTTACAGGCGGATGCACAGCAATGTCTAGGATATGGTATCAAATCATTCCGTCATGTCAATAATTAGACAATGTACCAACACACACTGAGTTCATCTTGATTTGACAGGTGCCAGGAAAGAGCTTGGTTAGTCTTGAAACCAATTTTGACATCTTTTCTTGTAAACATAACAATATTTCAATGTCAACATCCTCCGTATGACAAGTGTATCTATATACATAAATAAATCTGTCTCCACACTGTAGAGCTCATTAGCCTCTGCTTAAAATAATAGTTTCTTGCTAATCTATTAAAACACTTTCTTTTCCATTATTTCTTTGAGGAAGCCTTAGCTAGCCCCTTGTCTGTCCATACCTGGAAGCCCAAGAATTGTGAAATAAGGCCGGCATTCTGTAAGACCCGAACTCTGACTGACACAGCTCCTCCAGAGGCCCTGATATTGGAATACCGATGTCACTGGATTGTCATATAAGTCCTGGGTGCTCCATGTATCCAATGCTGTGGCAACAATGCAGCCAGCAAAGCCCAAGGCTGAGACAAAAAGGCCCATTACTTGGCAAATCGTGGTGGACATTGTATCTTCTTTGCAGCCAGGTGCAGAGAAACTACTAACAAAGCTTAAGGGAACACTGAAGTCCCTGGTGTACCAGCAGGCTATGGCAGACCTTATCAGATGGTTTCCATTAATAGGTGTTGTTTGCTCAACATGTTTTTGCAAGATAACAGAGTTTCAGTTGGGTCGGTTAGTGTTGAATGCTCTGGGCTGCTGGAGCTTTTGTCCCTTAGGAGCCCTTGCTGGTCTGACAAATATTGTTGGTCAAGTGAAGGGTGACTTCCTCTGAACTAATGGCATTGTGCAACATGACACACACACCCTCCATACTTAAATCTCTTATTCAGCTTAGCCTATTCCAGTGTCCATGTACCTAAAATGTCACCAGTTGCAATATGATGAATGAAAAGGAGGGCTATCGCAGCATTGCAAGGCATATTTTCAGTACTTCCAAAGTGACTTCCTCTTCACATCATTATCAAAGATTGGTGTTTAAGCTTTCAAAAGACTCCAGTATCATTTTTATGCTTACAATGGACCTTTGTGAAAATATCATTTTATTATTATTATTATTATTATTATTATTATTATTAGTTGGTTGAGTAAAGTTGAGACTTTGTCTAATTTGCATAGTATCCATGTCTGCCTCTTCCATTTGTTTGCTTCTAGCTTGTTTGATATGGTTCTCTTTAACATAAAGCTAGGCCAGCAATTCAAATTTTGTATGTACAGTTAGGACATAATTCAGCATCTCATGTCATCAATCAAGGGTGGGCACAACATCAAGCCCATTGGTGAAATGCTCTTCTCTTTGCCCCCACTTGACTTTTTCTATAACCTTTTACCTGCCCCACAGTCACTGCCAAATTTCAGCGGTACAACCAGGGGAACCCCACCTCCTTTTCAATATATTTTCTGTCACTAAAATTCAGCATCAGCCTCATTAGATTTTAAGGGACGATTTTAAGCCATAACCCATTTTCTGCTTTTAAAATGAAGATATTGTCCTCCTCCTCAGCTAAACCAGCAAATTTTGGTGTCACATGTGATGGGTTGGGATAGGTTTGGGGAGAAGAGTAATGTAGCCCTCTTATCCCAGGAAACTACGTATTACATTTGGAAAGTACGAGGCTGATCTACCCACCCATTTTCTTTCTTTTTTTAAAATAAGTTTTATTTGAAATTATAATCCTAAAGAAAGGAAAAGAAAAGAAAACTACAAACAACGTCCATCATCAAAAACATTGAGCCCGCTGGGTCAGTCCCCACACCCTTCTTTTTCCATTTGTGATAAAACATATTTAAATCTAAGCCAAGTCCCATTTCTCTAGCCAATAATAAAAAGAGTCCCAGGTTTGATAGAAGTTACCCACCCATTTTCAAGCAGGTGAAGTGAGATATAAAACATATTTATTGCAGAACATTAAAACTGTTCTACTTGCAGGAAAACAATGAAGTGTCCAGGCTACCTGACTGCGAAAGCAATTTGAGGAGTGTCAATGTTCTTTCAGAATAAAATGTTTAGAAATGGATTACTCATTTTATCTGTATGTTGGTATGGCACTTTTTGCTGTGTAATGCCTCTGGTTTCAGGCAAGGATGAAGACAGGACCCCCATATCTCCTCCATCTCTCCCTCTCCCTCTCCCTCTCCCTCTCCCTCTCCCTCTCCCTCCCTCCCTCCCTCCCTCCCTCTCTCTCTCTCTCTCTCTCTCTCTCACACACACACACACACACACACACACACACACATACTGGTGTTGTTTACAGATTGAAGTTAATGCAGGGGCATAACCATTGTAGGTATCTATAATACTATGACACAACCCGATACTATGAATCATTATGCTGAATTAACAATGAGTAAATATTTTCCCTGCTGCACCCCTAGAATAGGAAATTGCTTCTTTGCCCAGTCTAGCATGGTGCAACTCCTTAATGTGTTATATTCATCAGATACAGTGTTAACACAAGAGAAAGACTGGTGGTCTGGACACAAAGTTTGATTTTGTGCTATTTCTGAAATGGAGAGAAAAAGAAGGCCTCTATCTAAACCTCATCTTCATCCATGAACTATGAAGCAGCTTATTAAATGAACAATGGTGAGCACCGGTTTTCCCTAGATACCAGAATGAGCATAACAGACTGTATATGCTAATCCTCAACCAAGCAGAAAGCCAGCTTGATACCATTCCCATATGTGCTCGAGGAGACCCAAATCACTTCAGTTGGGGCACATTTTAGCCCCAGAATGTTTCAGAAATGTGACAGTCCAGAAGAGGGTTGCCTGAATGCTACGTAAGATTAGATGGTTGGACGCCTGTATAATACCGCTTGCACTGGCCGCTAGTGCATTTCTGGGCCCAATTTGCAGCGATGGCTTAAGAGACAATGCTATTCCTGGCCGGGGCATGCTGGGAATTACAGGCATTTTCTCTGTCTAAACAGGCATAGAATTATGCCGTTGATGAACTTGCAGACCAGGCTCCTGGAAAGAGTGCCTGCGCTTTTGGTTCAGCATGCAGTGTTGCCCAGTAACTTGAACATGCAGCTGATCTGTGCACAAAAAAACCCACCTTGACTGATGAACACTTTCAAAAGGGAGGGAAAAATGAACCCCAATTGAGAAAGACATCAACTTGACTAGCTTATATAAACTTGGTAACAGGCTAGCAAATGCAGTATTCAGGTAGCACCAGGAACCACCAGGTAACTGCAGCATTGATAAACATACATTCAAGTTTATATTCTACTAATTCTGAAATACAAAGCCCTCATGAGAGTAACGAGGCTGGTGGCATAAAGGAGAGGACTTTTCATCAATGGATCTGCACTTATGAGGTATTTCGCCAGGCTGAGCACACACTGCCTCACCGTCACACAGAAGTCCTTTTTAAATGGTCTAAAGATGTGCTTGTTCTGCATGTGATTCTCTAAAACAGTATTTTATCAGGTTCTTGAATTGATGAAGTGGGTTAAATGGAGATAAATGGTCATTATTTATTGGGTTTTAGTGCCTTGACTGAGCTTGGTGTGGGTTTTGTGTATATGATTGCTGGGGAGTTCTTCATTCTTAATTTTTAGTATTACAGTTTTCCTGATTTTTAACATCATTACTCATGTTTTGTCTCAGTAACCTCCTTTGTAGGATTTGCAACATTTTCCTATTTAAAATGCATGGAAATCAATGCAAAATCCATAGGAGGCTGAACCAACTTTAAGATCACTGAGAAATCAACCTGATGTTGATGGCAGGTGTTGATAAGGTAGGACAATAGCCTATATAGAGAGGCCACTGTAACTTTATTTCTGATTTTACCAAGGAAACTGTCATTGAGATACTTCAGATCTAATCAAATACACAGGGATCCTTTTCACTCTCCTCTCCCCTCTGCTTCTCCTGTTGGGTACTGACTTTGCTGCAGAGATCCTAGCTTGCATTAAGCTGGAATTCCCAAGAATGTCTGAACTAAGCAAGCAAGGACCATGTTAGGGAGAGGGAAGATAGGGAGGTGACAAGAGCAGCAGGTGGCCCCAAGGCACACCTGCAGCTTAATAAAATGTGGTATATGGACCCATGGAAACACACACCCTATGCCTGTGGACTGGTTAGAAATTCCCTTATACACACACAAACAAGGGGAAATGGTCATTTTATAGATTGCTGTTTAGAAAGGCAGAAGGGCTGTAAGAATTAGGAAATTAATCTTGTTTCTCCTGCGTGGTGAATAGCTCTTGGGAGCTATATAAATTTGCCAAGCTGCTCAGCCAGCAGCACTGCAGTGAGCAGTAAAAGGGGGCCTGCTGGACTCCAGGCTCATCAATTCTGGTCTAATACTCTGTTGCAACTGATTTACTTCAACTCTGACCTAGAAACAAATTCAACTTTTATCCATTCATGATACCTTTATTTGCAAGAGATGGTCAATACAATATTCTTGCTGTGAGTTGAATGAAAGCTATCTTTAAGATGGATGATTTACAGGGCGCTTATGATGTATAGGCCATTACCTAAGCCTGTGGTATGTTTAGGTAGCTGGACAAGGCATGGGTATTATGAGGCTGGATGTTAATCTCTAATCTGATAAAGAAGCAGGCCATCTAGTTAATACAATAGACAGTCTGATTATTATCTCTCAAGAAGCCAGTTCCATACTGTACATTCTTCTAGCAGTTAAAAGAATCAAGCACATCTGACAATTGTACTAATACTTGTACAAGAATAACACGATAAGTATGCTAATTTACATGCAGACCAGAGAAATTGGGGTGCAGTCACAAAACTACTTAGAGAAAGGGATGCTGAAGCTTGTCCAAAAACAAACAAACAAAATAAGTCCCTGGTCTGCTCTATCGCTACAGTATGACGGCAAGTTAACACACACACAGACAAAGGGGTGGGGGAAAATCATTAAAAGAAAGAACGGGGAAAATGAGGCAGAAACCAGACTTCAGTATCAGCTTACTTTCACATCAGCTTACATCACCACCATGCTTTTCAGCTGAAGCTGTAAGTTATCAACTTACACATCATCATTACAGACAGGTATATATGAATCAATCGTTCCTAACTGAGGAAGAGATTAAACAAATACTGGACAGACAGACAGACATTTTGGGGAAGGAATGGGCAACACTTCTCATTTTGGATCTCTCTCCCTAATAGTTAACTCTTCTAGGCCATATAAGCAATTTCTGTTACGCAACTCAACTCATTTTGGATGGATCAGCCCTGCAATAGTGGGACTTGGTTTTACAGACCATGAAGGTTATGCTCCTTTGTACAGGCCACAGCACTGAATGTGACAAACCAGTTTTTATAGACCTTTAGCATGAGCAAACAACAACTTTCTGTTAGAAAGATGAAACACACATGACGCAGATTTGTTCAAAGAGATTATAATTCTGATTAAGACAAGGAAGTCAGTGCCACTTCATTAGGAAAATAATATTCAAGGATTATCATGCCACATTAAGGAAGTATGTGACTCTATTAATGCTTGTGAAATAATAAGAATAATA